CCATTTTGTAGTTAATCGGAGACTAGAAAGCTATATACTTTTCCCCCAAGAGGCAGATGATGAACTTCAAATTTAGCAAAGATGTGAAGAATATGCTTTGAGGTGAATTGAGAGCATTTAAAAGATGAGAAAATAGAGTTTTTGGATTCTTCTACGTAACAATGCGCCGTCACACATTTACATTCTCGTTAAGACATTTCTGGAAAGGAAACTTTTCATAGTTCTCAAATCCGTCCTCTTTATTCACTAGATTTTGCCTCTATAATCTATTTTCTCTTCTCTAAAGTGAAATCTTATTTCAAAAGTCATTATTTTAATAGCGTTTAAGAGATTCACATAATAGTAAATACACGCTTCTTACATCACGTAATCACGTTGATTTCTTACATTTTTTTCTAGTCTGTGGCTATGACAGAAAGATTAAATATCTATTAGTTTTCTATAGCAACCGCAATAATTAATTTTACAGTATTCTTGAGTTATATTAATGTTAAAAGGAGACTCAACAGTGGTCAAAAGATTAATGCTGTTGAATACTGGTAGTTGAAAGAGGCTTCGAATTAAGCCCAGAGGGCTGGCTGTATGGTTGGTTTTCGTAGTTTTTGCCATGTGTAATGTGAATGCGAGCCAGTTTCTCTCGGAATGTGGCTCACGAAAGCATCCTTTATAGTAGCCCTTGTTTTCTGCTATATTCAAACAACTAAATCTTATGGAATTAAAAATATCTTTCTAAAATTTCTGCATCGTTACATTATGTTACACCATGATTGTATTTTGACTGTTATGTTACCATGACTGTTATGTTGTTAGGTTTTAAACTTTTATGACTTTGACCTTTTAAACTTTCTACGTGCCGGACTCAAATCAAATCAAATCATATATCATAAGAATCAAATTCATATATCATAAGAATTATCGTAAGGTGATCGAATAGTTTTCATTGTACCTTAAGCGTTGTATATCCGCACCCGGGAGCTGCCGCTGAGAATGGCTTTGTTAATATTTAAGTTTTCTTTAATTTCCATAAAAATCCTAATTCATAGTAGAAACAAAAATTTCCTAACCAACATAGCCTACCTTTCAATTAACACAAATCACACAATAATCATTTAAACTGCATGCTTATTCATTAATTATATTCCACTCAAATGACATTACATATTATTTTTTTAGGTTTAATCCTTCGGAGGTTAAAAAAGAAAGATGAACACACAAATTTAAGGAAGGTAGTTAAGATTACATATTTTCTTCTTGATTAACTTAGACCTAGGTATTATTTACAATTCCAATATTCATTTCCCTTGTATTTTTGAAATTCTTACGAACATCATTTCGACTGAGTCCCAAATTCATGGAACATAAAATTATCAAAAAATTATAAGAGAAACAGGTTCTTGTAAATCTTAGAGTAATCGGACAAAAAGGAATAAACACAAATTCTTAAAGAGAAAAAGGAAAGTACAAAATAAAAAAAACCGACTTAGCTGTATGTTACATGAATGGTCCGCACCCTCTTATATCGCGAATCATGTCATCACTAATAGGAACACACTTTTGCCTTTTTCCAAGCTTCTCTGAAGAACGTAAAGGGATCGATCAAACTCCGGGAGTTCACTGTCTGGTGTCATAGGTGAGTCATCATGGGACACGTAGCTCTCGTGGGCACCGCTTCTTCGTTCATCTCCTTCGGCGTCAATTGTCAGAAAAGTTCGTAGAGGTCCCTTGTATTACTCCATAGCGGCTGTGCATCGGATGAGGCTCCGTAAATAATCCATTTCTGCAGACGAGTCAAGGAAAACGCGCATTCCTTGGAGTTCGATCATAGTTTCGCACGTAACTAATAAAGAAGACGCCCACTAAGAATCGTCTCGAGCGTTACCAAAGGAACACCACTGCGGTAGCCCCGGTAAAACCCCTGGGGAGTCAGCAGCATCTCAGCAGCTCATTCCAGATAGCCTGTATCCACGAAGAAGTCAAAATTGCAAGCAACAAGTACCAAAAACCAAGCGCAAAAAGGCAAATGACGAGAGAGAAGAGAGCGAAACCCCAAATTTTATTCTAAAAATACTGACAAGCACTGTTTCCCAGACTTGGCAAAACTCGCTCCTCAAAAGTTTCCTTTTCCTCAAAAGTTCAAATCCTTTTCTTCCAAAACTTGTCAAGTTACATTAACACCTTAACTCTAAATTAACATTTCACAATTAATCCATCACAATTCGTTAGCTACTTCTTTTTCACTTTATACTTTTACATAAATTTTTACTTGAGGCACTGGTTCACAGACTGTATCCCAACACATATTAAGAATTAAGTGAAAAAATAAAAAGAATAACCTCCTTAAAATAAATATACACGTATATTTGCTTTTTTCTAGAGACACAAAAAATTAAACTTAATTAATTCAATAGAATAAAATTACTTAATTTCTAAAATCCCAAATTTTCCTGCGCAACAATGTTGCACTATGACCCTTACTTGTGTTACCCCTGAGCTAAATATAAGGTTTTTGTTTTAATATTCGAAGCGGGAGTGCTTAACTAGTTCATATAATTTTGCCACCCAAGGAAAATAAATATATTTAATTTTTCTTCCAAATTTAATCCGTTTATGATTGCTTGACAAACTGAACAGTTTAAAAGGAATGATGCGTACCTTGATATTTAGAATATTTACTTTAATTTTAATATTATATTAAACAGATAAATTTAGAAAATATGCAGCGATATAGAAGTTATTAAAAGACGTTTCTAACACCATATATTACATTCCTAGTAAAGAATTATTTCTTTTTATTCTACAAAATGCTTCTTATTTACTGTAAAAATAAAGTAACAAAATATTCGAAATTTTTGTAATATATTGAAAAAAAAAAGTATTTTCTATTCTTTAAGTACCTTATTTTAATTTATTTCTGAATTCAAGAAATAATAATATGTTCAATCTTTTTTACGATGTTTTAAGATGTATCGGCAAATTTAATATTCAGAAAACAAAGATAAAGAATCACCATAAAAATAAAAACAAAGTTCATTTATTACGTTACCATAATTCTCTCGCTTAAGCTTCTTTTATTGTTTTTCATCCCCTTAAAAGGTATTTTTACTTCGAAAATACATAAAGCTTTTAAAAAAATGTCAGAAATGGAGGAAAAACATTTCAGTTTAAAATATTTACTTGTCGAGAATCTAGAACCGACTCTAAACATATCTCGATCGATACAGAAATATTAGAGCATGCTTGCTCTTTTTCAATAAAAAAATAGAAAGTTTTTTGGCTTCCTTTTGGTTAAGCGATTTGTTTAAATTTACGAAATTATTATTTTATTTGTCTTTCTCAATTATCTTTACCGCTCTTACTGCGGTTATTTACAAAATGTTACTGAAATTTGAATACTTTAAATTATATATTCCAAAAGAGATTTTGTTTTCATAAGCACACTATATGTCTACTGACTTTTGGTAACTTGTTTTAAATATTGTTGTCGTTGTTGTCTTGCCCATATTACATGGAACAATGGTTGCCCCGATCTACTCCAAAGAGAGGTTCGACTTCTAATTTCCCCTCACAATTTTGAGGGATGTTTTAGATATTAAACGATACAAATTAATAAGTATTGTTTGATTTCTTGAATCATTTATTTCATTTGTTACTTTTTCTTTGTTATCATGTCGCCTCACTGAACAAGACTTTATCTAAGGGGATGTAGTAGTTTTATAACATAGAGGAGTACCAAGCTATTTGTACCTCTATTTATTTTTACTTTTGTTGAGAGCTATGTGTTAATATGAAGATCTCTTTAGTAACTGTGACAGGTGAGGAGAAAGAAATTTAAAATTTACTGCAATAAATAACAACACACAGTAGCATAAACGGCTGTAAATAGCTCAAGAAGAACACAGAGCTAAGGAAAATTCATTTTAACATACAAGATATAGTGCAAAGTATCTATGACTTATCGAAAACGCTCTGAATTCAAGATTCACTCAGTTTTTCTTTAAAGCAAACTTTAAAATAACTGTCTTCAACGGTTCAACGCGGCCATTTATATAGGATTGCATTGGGGAAGCTTTGAGAAAATTTGCTCCTATGAAAATGTTTCGAAAATGCTTTATGAGACTTTCGGAAAGCCGACAAGTTGGTGAGAAATCAACACATGCTGCCGATGGAGTGGGAACAAATTGTGCAAAGATCCATAAGGGCAGTTTCTGCCTATATTTTGATTTTTAAATGAACTATTTTTATACTATACTATACTTTTTGATAGATTTAGGATCATAATATCTGAAACACTGTATGACTGAACACTTATAAATACAAAACTGTATTTTTAAGTGTTCAGGCACCAAGCCTGATCGAACAAAAATTCTCACTGGAATTATTCTATAAAATGCAACAATAAACAAATAAAAACAATACATAGAATTATAAAAATATACAATATACAGAAAACAATGCAATAAAATGTTATTAAAATTTCTTATACATGCCACAAAGAAATAAATTAGAATTGACATTACTGTTGGACAATAAATTAATGTGTTTAAGATTTTCAGCATTAGATTTAGGAAAAGAACCTGAGATTAAAAAATACCCCTAATAACAGTTTGATTTAAGCGCAACTGCTTCCTCATATTAAAGCAAGAAAAACTTACATGGATGAAGTGTTCTAGAAATCATACCGGTTACCTATGATTGAAATCAGAAAAAAATATACTTCACAACCGTAAATCAATACTGTATGATGGTTGAATATTTAAGCAGACTTTAAAGTCTAATTTTAGAATCATACAATTATAAGACACAAATCTACTTCTAGACGATCCGTTATTTAATTTGGCCTGGTAATACTTACATAATGAAATTGGCAGGATCCTTTCCAGCGGTGCTTATACGTCACCCAACTTGTAGAACATTAATGCAGTTTCCCATAAAAATTGATGTTCAACAATTGGGAACAAATGGGGAAAATGATAATAGAATTAGATAAAATTCGCACTTACCTTGCGGCCTATGGCCCTTTGTTTCAGACAATTTTTTACCACCTTCTCTTTCCCATGTGACAGTAGGAAGAGGGTAGCCCTTGACCTTGCAGCTGAGAGTAATGTTCGTTCCCTCTCTCGCCATAACTTCGTTTTCTCCTCGATCGATGAATTTTGGAGGTACTGTAAAAGTTAGAAATGTATTTTCAGTAGATTGATTTCGTTTTGAAATTTTATCATCCAAGTTTAGCTTTATAGTTGCTTTAAAAATATACATTTTGGCAGCATTTGAGTTTTTCTTTCTGAGGGTAGCAGTTCACGAAGCAATAATTCAATGATAACGACGACGCAGGGTTTTTATAAACTGAAAGCAAGTTACTGAAACGTTGGATGTATGTCAAAGTAAATTTTAGTAATATTACTATATTTTAATTCGAAGCTTATTTTCTTTCCAAACAAATATAACTAGTCATTTAGTCAGCGGAACTATTTTAACAATTAAAAAAATATTCCATGAGTTTGGAAGAAAAAGGCAGATTTTTTTTTAAGATGACCAACTTTCGTACTTAAGAAACCCTTTGGAGCGCTGTTATTGCTGTTCCGAATACTTTTGATATTTGAGCAGAATCCAGATCAAGTCCATAAGTTTTTATCGTTGCTGAAGAACACTTCAGAAAAACAAATCTCGAAAGGAATTTCTGCTCAAAAGTAATTTAAGTGCTCTTATGCTGCAAAGGTACTATACAGACATCCATATCTTCTCCTGCACTTGAATTGGCCCAAGAAAATGGCAATTGGCACCGATAATCATACACTAAAAAGGACAGCATATTAAATGCTACAAGGAAAAGACACTATCACTGTGTACTTGAAAAATCTTCTAAAAATAAAAAAAGTGAATTTTAGTTTTGAATAACTAAACGTTAACGAGGAAGAATTTAAATTTGTCCTTTTTATGTAATGCAATGATTTATTTTATTTTTCAGTAATTTTAAGCAATTGATATCTGATAAAAGAAGGAAATAACGGGTTTTGAGTAACTGCATTCTTGAAACAAAAGGGAAGGAAAGGAGGCTATTCTGATATTCTAGCAAGAATAATAGCAGATACTTCAATTGACAATGTGTTGTACTTTAACTCAGATACGCGCTTTTGTATTCTGTTAAGAGAATACAAAATATTTCCTTTCAATTCTCTTAAGAGATATATACTTTTTAAAAACTTGCTGAAGTTTTGTATGAGGCAGACAGAACTTAAGAATGAAGCACTGTATGGTTCTCTTCCGGAATAGAGAAAAAAGCGTTCGAAAAATGTATTTCCGGTTGTCGAATTGTTTGATGAAACTAACCTTCGAGGAACCATCTCACTTTTAAAGAAAACATTTATAAATTGCCTTTGGCATAGTGATCAAAATCTTCGATCTGTCATTCTTCAGTGTTTCCCAAATTTTGCTTAAGGAATTACCCATTTTAAAGAGTAGACAGACTGTATCAAGTTTCTGTCCATCAGAAGATCATGGTAGGTTTTAAAGTACCAACTCTTGCACTTATTGTGCTTCTACACTCGCCTTCTCAAAGTAATAGCCGATTCTCTTTTACGAATTTTCATAAAATGAAAGCTAACGAGTTGTGGATCTATTGCATTCCTTTTGTTAAATACTTATAAAAATGTTTGTTCAATACGGTTCTCAATAAGAAGATAATCTTACTTGAATGTCTTCAATATTAAATCTATATTTTACAAATAATTTCACAGGCTGAGCGATGCTACGACTAATATTGAGCAGGGAAACGTTTTCGATTCGTTATTACCATTTCGTTATTACGAAATATTTTAACAATATTTGAAAAATTTGTTAATTACTTATCAGGAAATAAAGTTTTTTTCGACGCTGCTATTTTTCGAGTTACCTCCATGTGCATTTTGTTTAAGGTGACAACATTTCAGTGAATGGTAACGTATTTCATTCATGTGTTATTTTCCTTTTGCAATACCATATTATTCACATACATAATGTTACGAGTAGTATTATGGATATGATTGGTTATTTGAAGGATTAAAATATTATTGAAGATTAGGTTATTTGAAGGATTTAAAACGTAAAAGATTTAATTTGAAGCATGTAAAATTAAAACTTCCTATTTTTGTTTCTTTGCTGTTAGATACGTTCTGATATTTGATAAACATGTTACTAAATACGAGTATTATAGCCTCATGGACAATAAGGATTATCTCACGGACAATAAGGATAGTTAAGAAATATATGTAAATCACGAACTTAAAGCATGCAACTTAATGCATACCTGCTTTCATAGGCTTAACTGCGTGGGTTTTCCACAAAATTTATGAAAGAGATATTTTTAAAAATTACCATTTAATACTGAAGTTAAACATAGCAGAGCATAAAGAAACTTTTATGCAAATGATCGTTTTTCTCTGAAAATCAAAAGCAGAAGTAAACATAGGAACACACATGTTATGAGTCATACGATAACATCTGCAGATTCTCAGATTCGATATCGAGTTATTCATGTAATTAATCCAGAAATTTCATAGAAAATAAACGAGTTAAAATTGTGTAGTGAAGTCTTGTTATATTATAAGTGACTTCTATTTATAGGCGGATAACTGAATGAAATTTTGGAATTATTTGTGGTTTTAAATTTGCCTATCCTTTGTGTCTAAGCGAATATACGTCATGAGAAGCAAAGTTCAATTTTTAGAGTTAAGTTAATTTTTAATAAATATTAAAATACTTGTCACTGAATGTCTGTTTAAAGTAGATAACTGATAAATGCCTAACTTGAAACGCCTAACTTTAACGATGACTTTTCTCTTTACATAGTTTTAAATCATATTCCTTCCAGGTGTAACTAATAAATGGTTTATCAAATAAAACTCGCACAAATATATATAATTGTGTATGAATGTACCAAATTGGTGGTAAAAAACTTAAGGAATTTTAAATAAAGTAAAAAGACACCTCAACAAGTGTCAATGTTTTCCCACATACTCGTACTTTACTAGTACTTAATTTATATTAGTCTTCTATATCTTTAAATTAACATAGTAGAGCTCATTTTCTTTTATTTTAAATCTTACATTAAAATAGCGACATTCGAAAATTGCTTTAACTCTTAAAAACATCTTGAATTTAATTTTAATACTAAATCCAACAAAGGATATGTCTCCTAATATGTAAATGCATATACATTTTACTTTACGTGTGTGCATTATTTCTCTACCATCTATATAAACGTGGCTATATACATATACTTTGTTTCTCAGAGGCTATTACTTAGTTTTCCTATGAGCCCTCTATACAACAGGGCGGAGATTTTGCTATCCACCTATGCACAAACACTTCATACTCTATTTGCTTGTTTCTGAAATTGCTTTCAAGCAGATTTTCTTAGTCTTGGCTTGATGAGAAGTTCGTCCCAAGATGATCATTTTATCGAGTTAAATCCGAGTTTATAAGTACTGAAGCCTCTGCATCGGTCGAAATGGATCGTTAAAGTCTTGTCTCTATAGCGAGAATCCCTGTAGGATAAATTTTCCTGTTTTGCTACTTACTGATTGAAGCAAATGTCCATCGTTAAGTCTAATATAAACAAGTCGAAAAAAAGACTTTTCCTATGGTACAAAAAAAAAAAAAAAAAAAAAAAAAAAAAAAAGGGAAACGAAATGGACCTCTACCATGACCTACTAAATTGCATTTCCCTTAATCTGAAGTGTTCTTAAAGGTCGTGATTTCTAACGACGTGGTCAAAGCGGATGTCGAGTGTTATGACCTCCGAAAGGATTTGGAAATCTTTACCGTTTAAGTGGATATCCATGAGGTCGGGGAATCGGACGCAATGGGTCGTTAGACTTGTTTCTAAAGGGTCATAAACCATAAAATCAAATCACTTGTTCCCAGAATAGTTATTTCCAAGCTTTCTACAACTTCTGATGTTTCTCGGAATAAGCGAATTTCACTATGACACTCAGATTAAGAACAAATTCATGAAGTAGTGCTCTAAAATTACAAGAAAAGGTTGAACAAATACTTACAAAATAAAAAAGTAAAAATATTTTTGAGATTTTAAGATACGTAAAACTGCAGACTGTTTATTCAGAAGCCTATAAACTCACATTTTAGGAAATGTGCTTCACACATTCAAGCTCAAAATAATAATAATAATAATACTAAAAATAATGTTATACGTAAACACAGTTCGTTAGAGCTTGTAGAAAATAGTGAGTTAGTTTAATTCTTAGAACATACGTTTAGAACCTTCAATACATTTATTATAATTAATATTTTTTTCATTTAGATCTCTAATTAGAACTAGCTGGAATTTAATGATGTAGATTAGGTAGTCAAGCATATGTATGCCAGATAGTTAAAAAAATATAGAGCGGATGCTGTATCAAATGATGATGATAGTAATAGTAGATAATAATAATGATACTAATACTAGTAATAAAATAAATATGATACCATTGAATGATAATGATGAAAATAGAATGAAATGATAATGTTGCCTGCTTACGGGTTCGTAATAAATTGAATGCACAAGTCAAGAAAAGTGAATAAAATTTATTCTTATCACAACAAATAAAAACAAAATGTTGAAATTTCCTTTGCCAATGATAAAAGAGGAAATGGCCAGTTGCCGAATTGATAAACCTGCTGATCATGGTTAGGCCAAGTTCTATTACTTGAAATCGAATGGGCTGGCAAAATGGTACTATATGGGTAGGTGAAGTAGTAGTACATGACATAATACGCAGTACATGAATAACATAAGTAATACATGAGTAACATAAGCATGAGAAGATCCTTTAAGTCCTCCCAGGAAATACTTCCTTCCCATATGCAGATAACCATAGTTTGCTTTGACGCAATAAATAATCTATTAAATCTTAGAAGAATGAACTATTTGAAAGCGATGACGATGGGCTTCCATAAGTTTAATTTATAATACATTTTATGTTAATTAAGCATTTTTTATAATTTGAATAATTACTAAAACTTCTTTTTTCCGTTTAGCTGTCACCATGACGCAAATGATGGTGAGCAGTTACTCTTGCGGTAACTTTTAGCAGTAACTCTTGCAGCATTAACTTTTACCGAATAGTTCTGCGCGTTAAATCGTGCTATTGAAGTTGCGCGAGCTTAGTTAAGCCAGATTTATGTAGTTCCTGGACTATACTTTAAATTGTAAATTCAATTATATGCTATTTTAATACTCGAAATTGGCAGAATTTTGAATGTAGTTGTGCTTTCTGTTCAATTCAAGAATAAATTATAAAAAATATTCAAAAACCTTCATAATATTTTTTAAACATTTTATACGGAGTGATAATTTTCTTGTCAGTCTAGTAAGGTATGAAAGATTTTGAGCTAAAATTACGAGAACAGAATATTCTTAGAAAATGAAAAATATATTAGATAATATGGTTATTCGATGCTATACAGGTGATTCAAAACTTATTGTTCAAATTTCGTGGGGAGATAGGGGAGACATCAGAAAGCCGATCTCACGGACGGAAGTATGTCCGCAAACGTTATCTACGTGAACAAAAGGGACAAGTAAAGTTAACACAAAAAACAGTATAATTAAGTGGTAACGAATGTGACCTTTATTCCAACAAGGTAAAGTAAAGGTTAACAGAAGGCGCTTAAAATTGCGACCATTTAGGCGAACACAAGATTCGCAGCACCGTTGCATTGACCGCCAAACATTTTTCGAAAACGCCTGGCATATGACGGACAGTTCCTGCTGCGACCAATATTCTTGCAACAAGGTCCATTTCACTGTCGAC